ATGTCGCCGCCTCTGTGACGTTTCTTGCGCGACCCCCGCGGGCAGGAAACAGCGCTCCCGATTCCTGGCGTGGGTGGGCTTGGCGGTTGGGGGCGGTCCTCCGTAGAAGGTGAGTCCACCCCTCCCCGCAGCCAGAGCCCCTCTCCGGAGATACAGGACGGGCGGCTCAACTCTCTGAAGTAGGCCCAGGGCAGTGAGGATGGCAGCGACCTGTAAGCCTTGGGTCAGCTGGGGTGACCTTTACACCTGTCCTGGGCACACCGGCACAAGGCTGCTGCCCCTTCTGGGTGCTCAGGGATCTCCAAAAACCTGCTGCCCAGGCCTTGGCGTCTTTCTCCTCCTCCCCTCAGCCTGGCAGTGTTTGGCCAGGGAATTCCCTTCTGTCATCAGCTGGGGTATCTTGCCTAACTGGTCTGAATGGGTAGCCTACAGGTGGATTTGGAAGCACCCACTGGGAGGAGTGGTGGGAAAAGTAGCCCCACACAAGGGCTGAAAACAGTCTCTGCCTGAAACCAGGGGCAGGCTTGACAAGATCCCACCAAGGAGGCAAAGGGAAGCAGCAAACAGGCAGGTGAGGGTGGAGACAACCATAGCCTAAACACCTTTATCATCACCCCAAACTTTATTGCTTACAAAGAGTTCTCTACAACCTGAACTTGGCAGTACGAAGGCTGCAGTTCTTCACGTACTGGGGGCCGGGGGTCTCTCCCTGGGAAGCAGTATGGCTTGATGTGGATAGCTGGACAGAGGCCACTTTGGCGAGATGTGGGGACAAGCTTCTCCCCAGGAGGAATCTCAGGGGACACACCCCTCACCCCACAATGATTCACAGTTGATTAATGCTACATGAGTCCTGATCACCCTCCCACAAAGAAGAGGCTTGGCTGGGGCGATGGGTTGGGGGGAACTCATCTTACAGAAGTCTGGAGGGCGTTTGAGGGGTCACACGCATGGAGAAGGGTCAAGATTTGGGTCCCTTCACCCCATCTCCTGGCCTTGTGCTCATGCGGAACCGCTGGCCGCCCTTCTGGAGGACAGCCATGAAAGTGCTTTGAGGTCATCAGAGTGCAAAGTGCAGCTGGCGGTGCCCCTGAGACCAGGGGCGGGGCAGGGTCAGTGAGTGTGGTGCTGAGCCGTGTCTCGGGAAGCTGGTGTGAGGATGTGAGAGCCTGGGTAATGGCAGCGCCTACGGCTTTCTTTTGTGTCTGTTGTGCCCCGTCCTCAGACTGTTTCTGTCATGTAGGTCTCAAGTCACCCTTCACTTCTAGGATGAGGGAGCTGAGTACCAGCTAGGTAGGGGCAGTGGCTGGGCCTGTGGTTGGGGCTCGGGGCCTGCTGCTCTGGGTAAGACTGGTGGCCAGCAGCAAAGGGGCAAGTGCTTAGGGACTGAGAACAGTTTAATTGAAACGCCTTCTCTGGTCCTTGGCTGAAGCTGTGCTCAGCTCAGGGCCTGTGTTGAAACACCCTGAGAAGGGTGGTGTTCTCTCTTAGGGAGACCCTCAGTGTCAGGCATTCCTTCCTCTCTCCCTGACTTGGTCTGAAAAGTTCCTAGAGCTAAAAAGGGGTTTGCTGGCCAGGCAAGGCCGGGCGAGGGGGTGAGAGGGCCCCGCATTAAGCCAAGGGCAGGCATACCCGCTGCCCTGGGCGTGTACTGGGCCCGGGTGTGGGTCGTTAGACATGCCACACCCTCACATCTACCTGGAGACTGAGGGAGGGGCTCGCTCACCCCTCCCTGACCTGGGCTGGAAGTCGCTCTCCCCTGACTGCCAGCAAGTGGTCACTGATCCTAACGGGTCAGGCCAGCTTGTTAGGACCAAGGCAGAGAAGATCCTCTTTGTTCCCCGTGGGAAGAGGCCTCCTGCCTTCTTCCTCATGTGGGGGCAGGCAGGACACAGGTGGGAGATCGTGGGAGGTGTTTTGCTAGTCCCCACCTTACTGCTGCCAGTCCCTGGTCCCACTGCTGAGCCACTGTCTCAGGGGCAGCACTGAGCACCAAGAAGGAAGGCTGTTTCTGGCTGAGTGGAGCCGGTGGTGGGAGGCTGGTTAGGGCCTGTTCTCCAGCTGGCCGTGCTTGACCCTCCAGCTCCAGGCGAAGCTGCCGTCAGGGGCCAGGGTGCACTGCAGGTCAATGCCCGAGTCTGGCACCTCCATGTCATAACGCACGGGCTGCCCGTCCTTGGTCACCAAGCTGAAGGCTGCAGCTGGGATCTGGGGGCAGAGCAAACCAGTGGGCCTGAGAGTGGCAAGGGGTGCTGAAGCTTCCTAGGAATCTAGAGCTGGTGGTCTCCTGCTGCGCTAAGAGACACCTCCCTCCAGCCCAGCAGGCAGCCCTGAGGGCATGATCCGTCTTCCATTCTGGAGGATGCAGAGAACCACATGTGCCCAAAGTGTGGTCCTGAGGACCCTCTGATCGACCCAAAACTGCCAGTCTTGCCCTGGGATCCTGGGGGACATCTGGGGCTAACTATTCCCTGTGGTACTTTTTCAAAAGTCTTTTATCTGGAGGGCTGTGCTAGGTGTGCTGGACTCTGGGACTCTACCACTAAGTGTGTACCCACCCCCTTACCTGGCTACTGATGCCAGTTGCGATGTCTCCCACCTTGACCCGGTGGAACTCCCGGATGTGCAGGTGTTCGCCATTGAGGGACTGTATTTGGACTTTCACACCTAGAAGGCAGGCAAGTGGGCCATCAGGAGAGTGGCTGCTAGCTCCCTAAGGCGCCCTACATAGAGGGAAGCAGGGTGGTTGTGAGGAAGCCACAGAGAAGACATTTAGGTTGCAATGGCCATAACGGCATATACCTGCTAGCTCTTCCAGCCATTTTCCATCAACACCGGGAATTTGGCCTGCATAGTGCAAAGAGCTAAGGTTGGGTCCTATGGGGAAGTAGTAATCCTACTCGCACACAAGGCAGAAAGGAACTGGAAACAAAGATTCTTAAATTAGATTGTGGGCCACTTAGATTGTAATGTTCCTTGATTTGGAGTGGCCTCTGGCCAGGCATGGTGGCTTGATGCCATAAGTCACACTGGCCCTGGGAAGGGCCAGGGAACTGTGAGCTGATGCAACCCTTGTTCTGTCAAAATCACATGACCTATGCAGCTGCACTTGAAAACAAGGAAGTCCTACATATGCTGTCTTTCTCATCTTCTGACTTCATACCCTAGAGGAGGATCCCAGCAATCTGTTGCTGAGTTCTTGATTAAAATGTTCATGGGGTCTTGTTCTTCCTCTTCCTGTCAGAAGGAAGTTAACTGCTCAGTTTTTTGATTCCAGGCCAGAAAAGACTGCTGCTCTACGCCCCAAGTTAGACGCCTTCTGGGACTCCATCAACTGCCCACGAGGGTCAATGGTCCTCCACTGACCCACCAGGAAAGACTCTGGGCAATCAGGGCCTTGGCTCTAAACTGACGTCCTGCCCAGGTGCCTTCCTCTCCCTTCCCCACCCTGTGCCGGGGAAGGGGGACATAAATCTCTCAGACTCCCCAGTCCCAGGCAGATCAGGTGACTGTACCATTGAAATAGCTCGGCGTGTCGGTGGGCCGCCCCCGGGCCAGCACCATGTTCCAGCTGGAGCTGCGAGCCTCCGTCTGGCTGCCCCACGAGTGCACGCCGGAACTCAGGGTGTCCCGCGAGCTCTGAGAGGCCTTGGATGGGTTCTGAAGTGACAAGGATGGCACAGACTCAGGCCGCGGGCTCAGGGAACCATCTCTGGCCTTGGTCTAATTTGGGGCCAAGGGACTCTGGGCCCTCCCCTGGGCAAGGAAGCCCCCATGTCCTAGGCTGAAGCACGGCTCTCCTGGGTGCTTTTGGGGCTCAGCCGGGGGCTGAGTTCATGAGGAGCCACTGGGCTGGAGGAGGGTGAAGCGTAGTTCTATGGAGACCAAAGCCAAGCCTTTTTCCCTGCTATCCTAGTAGCCAGACTGTTCCTGAATTCCCAGGGTGTTGGAGATGGACAATCTCATTCTGAGAAACCAGGACCCCTGGCCCGGGGAGGACCCCTTCCAGGAGGAAGGGGTGACCCCGTTACCTGCCTCGTACCCTCTACTTGCACAGGGCCCCTTCCCTGGCTGCACCCAAAGCCCTATGCTCTGTGCCCTGGCTCCCGGTCCATGCTGGCTCACCTTCTCACTGTCATCCGACAAGGAGAGGCTGTCAATGCTGAGGCACGAGAGAATTTGCTCCTGCTCCTCCAGAGAAAATGGCTGGGAGAGGCTGTTCAGAAATAATTCTGTAGAAAAAGGCAGAAGACGGCTGTGAAAGACTGGGAGGGGACTGGCTGTGCTGTCTGCGTTTTTCTGCCCAGACTGCCAGAGCTGACCCCGGGGAAGGGGCTGGAAGAAAACGCATTCTGGCTGTAAAGAGGAGGAAGCCCCGGCCCGTGCCCAGGGAGCCAGAGGCTGCAGCCGCCCATACCTATTTCCAGCTGTTGCAGCTCCTGCTCTGGGAAGGTTGCCTTCCGCTCTGGTGAGCTGGGGTTTTTGGTGGGGGCTGGATCCAGGGAGGACAGAGGCAGCGGCTCCCACATCCCGGACTCCCCCTTGCCCCAGTGCAGGCTTGGAGACTTGTTCCGCTCTGGGGGTTCCGGGGGTGGAGGAGGTTGGAGCTTAGGGGCCCCGCCTGTTGTGTCCTCAGCTGGCTGGGGTCGCGGGGCCCCTGGCGAGAGCACCCTTGGCAGGGCATGGAGGGTCTGGTGAGAGTGGGCTGGGCTTGGAGGTGGATGGGCTTGGAGTGGCGGTGGATGTCTTGGTTCTTTATATTCTCCCCTCCAAGGGCTCCTCAGACCTCCCACTACAAAACAGAGAGCACACGTGGTAAGGTGGAAACGGGCCAGCAGGGTCCCTAGGCCACCCCAGGTGGCCTCTCCTGAGCAGAGCCGGCCCAGAAGCAGGCAGTGAGGGAGGACCCTTGCCCCACCAGGACACAATTCAGGAGAGTGGTGTGTGGTCTCCAGAGGAGGCCTCTTCTATAAGATGGTCCCCTACAGTGGGAACAGAACAGTATTTCTTTCATTCCCTTTTCCTCCTAGGTAACAATTGCAAATTTAAAAATCACAGAATTGGCTCCAGAGAAGGACTTTGTTAATATTAATAGTAAAGAGAAGATTTAAAAATAGCTCTGGGGGAATGCCAACACGGAGTTCCAGGTAAATGGGCCTTGCTGGCCCTGCATTTCTCTTACCCCTCCCTTCCCAACAATCAGTGCTTCCTGAAGGCAGCATTTCTCTGGAGTGGGGTCAGTTCAGCCCCGGAGCCCTTATAACTACCATCTGTGGTTGGGGTGTAGGGCTTTGCAATGTCTCTCTCCTGTTTTACTTATTCCCTTTTCATTCCCATAACTGCTACCTTTCCCCTGCCGCCCCCAACACTGCCCCCCACTCCAGCTGACATTCTATTATGTTTGATGTGTCACTTTGGATTAGACTGCTTTCTTGCAAAGTGTGTATTGCTTTTATTTATCAATTTTTAATTTATAAAAAAGGCAGAGTGTTCTAGGCTTTGCTCTGTTGGTCCTCTTATCACCCAGCACTACGGTTTTCAGATCCAGCCAGGTTTCTCTGTGAACATCGAGTTGCTTTAATAACTGCTATGGGTGCTGTGTGAGGCATCCCCCAACCACTCCCACCCCATCCCCACCTTTGGCCTCTTCGCGCTCTCACAGGGGCACACCCGACTGCATTCAACTCCCATCCCAAAAATGACACTGCAGTGTGCGTCCCCAGGCATGTCCCCTTATGGGTCTGGGGAGAGTTTCTTTGGCGGTAAGCCCTGGAGTGGGGTGCTGGGTCCCAGGTCTATGGACGTCTGCCCAAGTGCTGCCAGGCGCCCTCCAGCAGAGCCTAAGGGCTACAGCCCCACCAACACCTGGCACTCCCAACTTTCTGACTGTACCCACACAAATGGCTGGAAAGTGATACCTGGCTTTATTTCATACTCTGATTACTGATGAGTTCTAGCCCCCCTTTCTATGTCGTAACCCCTTTCTCCCAGCTCCTGAGCACTGCCCCTGCATCAAGGCACAGTACCAAGCACTTGGACTCACGTGACCTCAGTCTTCCTAACAAGCCTGAGGTTGGTGTCATGCCCATGCTCTACATGGGGAAACCAAGGCTCTGAGAGGTGGAGTACCTTGCTGATGACCACCACATGACTCTCTTGCCCCCTGTGGCCAGCGCGGGGCTCTTACCATGCTGTAGTGCCAGGCTGACCTTCCCCCCAAGTTCTACGGCCGACGCTCGGTGGTCAGGCTCTTTCCTGAGGCCCTCCTGGATGGCCTGTGCTGTGAGGGGGGCACAGGAGGGTGGGATCTCCCTCACAGGTGGAGGCTCGCTGGCAATCTAGGGGTCAAAAGGCAACATGTGAGGTCTGCCTCCCCATCACTTCCCTGCCCCCAGTTTTCTGTTCTTATTCCTCCCCACCCTCCCCACCCTGCTGTGCTGTGGTGGGCCACAAGGACTGAAGAGGCCTGGTCTAGAGTAGGGGCTGGGATTTTTCCAAGAAAAGGGAAAAAGGGGCCAGGTAGGACAGAGCAGAGCAAGGCGGTGAGGCATGCATGACTTCCAGGTCCAGCCTGTCAGGAGGTGGGCAAAGAAGGGGGCCCGGGGGGTGGACACAAGAGAGCCCTGAACCATGAACTCAAGGAGAGTACTCACCGACAATCTCCCCTGGAACCCTCAGATCTGGGGGGTAGTATTTTAGTCAGGATCCCACATTTATGAAGAGGGCTTTCCCTACTCCCTGTTCCCACCCCCCACTGAAGAGCACCAAACTTGGGGGCCCCATAGTCCTGCTGGCTTTGCTGGTGCTGGCCGGCACTGACCTTGAGGCAGAGCGGCCCTCGGAAGTACTGGGTCCAGGGGTGGCAGCCGTTGAGCATGTGCAACATCATGCAGCAGCTGCTCCAGATGTCCACCTTGGCATCACAGGGCTTGCCCATCACCACCTCTGGCGCCATGTGGGTCTCTGTGCCTGGGATGTAGTCCCCTGAGAAGGTGAAGTGAGGCAGAAAAGGCAACTGTGAATTCTTGATGGGTGACAGCCTTGGCAGGGACCACCCCAGTCAATCCCTGAGACACCTTGAATTTGTCTCAAAGTCCTTTAAGTAGACATAAAGCCTCCGAATCAAACTTGCTAGGGATGAGCCAAGTCAGGGATTCTGCTGGGGACTGTACAAAGAATCTGTCATCCAAAACATGGGCTCTGGACCAGACCCTTAAAGTGCTTTCTAAAAGGAAGGAGGGGTCTGGACGTGGAAAATTAGGTTGCAGAGACTAATTCATGGTATTTTCCTGAAATTTTAGTAAGTTAAAAAGAAAAAACAAAAAAAGGAAAAAGGTCTTCTATGTATATAAAAGGATTGATACCAGATGTCAACAGTATTTTTTTTCCGGTGTTTTATATGTTTTTGCAGAAAAAAATACAAATCACCGGAAAAAAATACTTTCTGCTTAGCTCTACTTTCTGCAAAAGATATTAGAAAAGATATTTTTGTAATAAGAAGAAAACACTATAGTTATTTTAAAGTGAAGGACAGGTGTCCATGCTCAATTTACATCTTCAGAATTACCAAGTCTTTTAGCAACAAAGAATCACTTCTAAAAAATGTTTTTCCTTTGGTCAAAATGAAATCATTTTATGCTAATGGTATAAATAAAAAAGCAGGGCACAAAATTGTGTTATAATGGCCTTAACTATGTACAGAAAAAAAAAAAGACGTGGAGAGAATTATCTAAAATATTCATGATTATCTCTCTAGGCAAGAGGAATGGTTAAGAATTCTTTTTTTCCTCCCCTTCTGAACCACTTAACATTATAGTTGCCAACTATTTTACAGTGGGCACGGATTACTTTGATAATCAGAAAAATATAGGTTAAAACCAGGCATTTCTCCAGCTGCAGAGCCCAGCCCCCTTGGTCAGCCTTCCCACTGTACTTCCAGAAACTACTCTCAGAGGTGCAAGAGGGCTGAGGTCACAGGCTGGGAGCACAGCTCCCTGAAAAAGGCTGGACAAGATGGGTGGAGCTGGGGTGGAGGGAGCTCTGAGGTAGAAGACCTGGGACCTAGGGCGAGGCACTCAGCCTTTCTGTTCCCTCCTCTGTGTAATGGGAACATCAGAAATGAGCATCTGAGTGCATTACTGCATTAAAGCTTAACAATAAAAGCCTCAGGAGAACCCAGAGTGGTGTCTTGGTGGACATAAAGTGCTCTGTCTCTGATGCCATTAAGGAAAGTACAGGAGAAGGCATCTGCGGAATGCCTGGTATACTGGCTGTTATCATTGTGGGGAGGGGGAGAGGGGACGGACTCACCTGTGAGCAAAGACTTCCCCAGGCCATCGGGTTGAAGGCACACAGCATGGCCAAAGTCGCATAGGGCTGCACGGCTCCCATCGCTGGACAGGAGGACGTTGTCAGCTGCCAGGCCACCCCAGGGAAGAAGAGGAACAGGTGAGTCACAAAGTGCCCTGGCCCAATCTGGACCTCCAGCAAGGCAATTTTCTGGCTGACCCTACACGGCAGCTGCTGCTTCTGATTAATTTCACTAGTCGCGGAGGGAGGGAGAGAGGAAGGTGTCAGTTGAGGCTAGAGGCAGGCAGCAGGCAGGATCTCTGAGGGTGAGGGCACGGCAGCAGAGTTTACTCCTGGGGACGCTGCTGCCACTCAGCTCTGTGCCTCTGGCCCCGCCGGGGTCACCAGTGGGTAGGAGCTCGATCTGCTGTTCCCTGGGGACCACCCACTGGAAACTATGGAGCCAGGCTGAGGGTTGGGAGAACACACTTCCCCTTCTTACTGGTACAGCCCTGTCAGCCTGACGCAGGCCCAGAAGATCAGGCAGGATGGGGTGAGGGAGGAGCCCAATGGAGACCAGGAAAACGGGGGCTCGGAGCCTTACCTTTGACGTCCCCATGCAGAATCCTTCGGGTATGGAGGTATTCCAGCCCTTCCAGGGCCTGGCCCAGGTAGTAAAGGGCCCGGTCCTCCGGGAGACAGCCCTTCTGCTTTATGAGCTGGCCTAGCGAGCCACCTAGGAGACCAATGGCCAGTCTTTACATGGGGCTTTTCCAGGCCTCCAAGGGAGCCAAGGGCAAGGGCTTCAAAGGGCAGATGGTAGAAAGCAGGCCTTTCTTGACCATGTCACAGAGTCAAGAGATTAAAAGTGGATTGACTGGGGACCGAGGTCAACCTTGGCAAGACTCGGGGGAACCCTGGGCTCTGAATGTGGAGGGAGGAAGAGTGGCATGTGGCTCCATACCTTCTAGCAGTTCCATGAAGATGTTAATCCAAAGACCTTCCTTCACTGCTCCATACAGAGGGACGATTCTGGGTGAGGTCAGTCCTGCACATGCCATCAACTCCTCTGCCCGAAACACTTCGACTCGCACCTAGAAGGGCCCAGGGGTGGCTGCAAGTCAGGGTGAGGGACCAGGGCTGGTTCCCTGGCATCCTGTAAGGACCCTTGGAACCCCCTGAATGGAGGCTGCTGATGCTCCCAGTTACGATTCTGAGGCCAGGCAGGGGGCTGGTGGGCCTCCTGGACCCTCAGAGACTACACTGTGCACCCTGGGGGGCGGGGTCAACGCCTCATACTGGATTGAAGTTCTGCATTGCTGATGTTTGTGAAAATACTTAAAGTCACACAAAAACTACAATCCTTATTCAGGCCCCTCGCATGCTGCCTATCCTCAAATCTGCTGAACACAGAACTTTCTTTTCCCTAGCCCAAATATCTGGACAATTTCTAGGTCATAGGACCTTTTGTTTATCAACATCCATACCTACACTTCAGATGCTGTGTTTTTGTCACCAGAGCTGATACGACCAAGATTCTGGCTCTGTCAGTGCCTCTGGCTCCTCCTCATCCTTCTCAGCACCTTCCCATCATTTGCTCATAATTATTTGCCTTTTGCCCTGAGGATTAACATTTCCATGTGGATGGAGCAGTGATTGTTTATTTTGTTTGCAGCTGTTTCCCCAGGATCTGGGCAGCGGAGATCCTATAGGGAGAGGTTTGGCCAAGGCCTGTCCCACAGTGGACTGGTGGGCCAGGGACCACCCAGTCTTTTCTGCAGGGAAAAGCATGGCATGGCAAGAAGAAGTAGGCCTTGGATGCAAACATCCTGGGCTGAGACCAGGTTCAGCCATTTCCAAAGGTAGATCACTTCCCCTAAGCTATGTGTTTCCATGTGCAAACAATGGGGACAGTGACATCTGCTCCTGGGGAGAGTGAGGATTTGGAGGGATGATAACCATCACCGGGCCTGGAAACCAGTGGGTGCTCAGGAAGTGCTAGCTCCCCACCTCCTCCCTCCAGCTCAAATATGGTTAGATTTCCTAATAGAGACTCAATCTCTTTTCTGGCAGCAGCCGATTCTCATGTTAGCCCTGAGAAATACCACCAGAGGGCGCGAGTGGTACAAAACTAGCCAAGAAGAACTCAAGTCGGCGCCTGGCAGTTTTCTCTGGAGACCTGCTGACTTGGCAAACAAAAGCTCTGACGTTGTATGGCTTTTGGACTTTTGCCTATCAGTGGAAAATGTCTCTTTCTGATTACTTGCAGAATACCTGGTTTGGTAATCAACTCGCATGGACTTTGACTCCCTGTCAGTGTTTCCAGCTCTGAACCTGAGTTGGAACTAATTCACCAACAGGACTTGTATTAGCAAAGGTTTTTAACCCTACTGCTCCCAAACGGTGAGGTGAAGCACCCGGGGCACCAGAGAACTCAAGGGCGCTACGGGGTATTTTACATTTGAGGGAAACAGAGATGATCAAAATCTGCGGACATCATGCAGACTACTAGCTCAAGACAGCTCGGTTTCAATGATCATATTGCATTATTTTGATGACATATTTCTGTGAAGCTAGGTTTTTGGAGGTTGCTGTGACAAAAAGGTACTTCAGGGATAATGTGGAGCAGGAAATGAAGGTGATGGCGTCCACTGATTTCAGAGCTTGAGAAGTTGGGTGTGCCCAACAAGACATACATCCCATTAGTAATTATGGTTGTTTTAGAACAAAAAACATGTATTTTTCAATTTTTATGTATTGTCATTCAAATGGCTAGTAGGTTGTTAGGATAAAGACTTATTATTTGACCTAATGATTTAATAAATGGAACTGTTAAGTACTTGTTTTGGCCTGGAGCACCATGAAAAAATGACTGAGACATTCAGGGCTATGAATCAAGAAAGTTTGGAAGCATCTGCCTCGACTTTTAAAAAAACCGTAAGTCCTCTAGAGTGTCCCAGCAATGTTAAAAACATTCCTAACCGCCCAGACCAAAGGCAGTCAGAAGGGACACTTCAAAACACAAGATGCGTTAGGAGCCTGGGCCAGCTCCAGGGAGAGCAAGTGGAAAGGGTAGACCCGAGAGAGCTGGTTGGGAGAAAGGATGGCTTACTGGTCCAGGCCAGCTGCCTGTTTGGCCCACCTCTCCTCTCTGGACTTCAGTGTCCTCATCTGTAAAGTGAGGGCTGGACTCTGATGAGGCTGATAATGACAACTAACATTGAATGCCAACTTAACACATGCTGGGCACCATGCTAAGCACTTACAAGCATTAGTTGTTACCTCTTAACAACAGCCCATCAGGTGATGATATCTCATTTTACAGACAAGGAAGCTGAAGATTGGATGAGTAACCTGCTCAAGGTCACCAGGTATAAATATCAGAGCTGGAATTTTGGTGGAAGAAGCCTGACTCTAGAGCTGCCAGCTACCCTGGCTCATGGAAGGCCTTTCCAGGTGTGCGAGCTCGAACATCTGTGCTCATACTCAGGAGCGTGCATACCCAGCGGGGAGCATGCTCAGCCATCCCCTAACTGCCAAATCCACAAGCCACTTCCCTTTGCTTACCTGCCAGCACACATCATTCTCCTCACAGTCCTTGTTCCGATTTCCTTCTCTTCTCGTCCTGGCTGACCTCACCCATGTCCCTGGCTGATGGCTGCTTCTACCACCTTTATACCATCTCCCATTACAACCTGAGCTCCTTCGGGTCAGGCATGTGGATTCCACACCTCTGTCTCCAGTCCCTGGCACAGCATCTGGCACAGAGCAGAGCTTGGTAACAGCTGGCTTGACGTGGCCAAGGCCAAACTATCCCAGATCAGGGATGAGTAAAAGGAGGCTCCCAGGACTCCATGCTTGAGCCAGATGCTCTCAAACAAACAGTTCTTAACCCTCACTAGGCCATAGGCCCCTTTAAAATCTAATAAATCTCCATACATGCCACACTTTAGAATAAACACACACACACTTTAGAAAAGAGTTCCAGGAGTTAAAGGATCTTATGAATTCATCCACTGACTAGGATAAAAACTTATACATTGGCTGTTAAAAGTACTAGAGAAATGGATATGTACCAAAAAAGAAATCTATGATATACTGTTACATGAAAAAAACATGGTACAGAATAATCTCTAGAGTACAACTCATTTTAATAAAAGAACAACTACATGTTCATATATGCAAAACCAGTCTAAAAAGATTAATGTCAAAAGGTAGTTACCTCAGAAGGGGATTGGGGAACAGGGAGACTTTTGCTTTTTGGGGTATCATTCTTTTATAATGAGTCTCTATTTATTTGTAATTAAAAAGATCAATTGAAACCTTAAAAAACAAAAAAGGAAAATCCTACATTAAACTCTAGACTCAGGACCAATCAGCATCTGACTTGGGGCCATGGATGTTCCAGAAGGAGGACCAAGGCAGTGCTGATGTTACCACATGGTACTACATGTTCTGGATCGTCAGGGAGCATAGAGGGTGCACAGACTTGCTCTGACCCTATGTGCAGCTTGAACTCTGTCCCCTGGCCCCCACGCTGACCCTTACCCCCTTACCAGGGAACTGTTTCTCAGATCTTCCAGCTGAAAATGCTAAAGGACAGCACTGCCTTCCCTACCCTCAGCCCTCGAGAGAAAGGAGAGGTAGCCTGCCCAACTAAAGGCAGCTGTGAGGGTACCGAGCTCCTGGAGGAGGGGAGGCAGAATTCTGAGAGGGGCTGGCAAGTCTGTGCACTGTGCTTGGAGCTTGTCCGACTGCCCTGGGGAGGTGAGAAATGGAGTGTCTGTCCTCTTCTACTATATTAGGGTTGTTTACCTTGTTGCCCAGGACTCTGAGAACCTCAGCAGGGGAACAGCTGAGGAGCCCAGTGACTAAGCTCTCAGCATGGGCATTCATCTCCAGGACACTTCACGCTCTCGCCCTCCTCCCACCCGCCTCTCAGGAGGGACAGCTGAGCCTTCTCCGGTGGCCGGGGAGGGGATTGCTGCTGAGGTCAGGCACGTGGCCTTGGCATCTTAGTGGAAGATGATGACCCGCGCTGGCAAGGACTCAGCACGTGTTCTGGCCAGTAGGGGTGGGCAGGTGGAGCTTGCTTATCTGACATAGTATGTCTGAAGTTTCGGGTAATACCTACGGATAGTCCCCTCTCTCATCCCATCATCCTGAGGCCCAAACTCTAGAACTCGAGCACCTGGCCATGTACAAGCCAGGGAAGCCAGGTTTATTCACATCACAATTTGTCTTGTCACCCCTTAAAGCCACAGGCACCTATGATAGTGGCAGAAGCAGTGTCCACTCTGCATGGGGCCCAAGTGGGATAGGCTTGCTTGGCCTGGCTATTTGGTCCCTTTCCTTTTGGGGATCAGAGTGTCCTCGACAAAAGCCACTGGAAAACAAGGTCCATCTTTGAGTTAGCTTATTTTACCTTGCCCATGGGCCAAGGAGATGGCCCAAAGCAATGTTTCTGATTTTTGCCTTAGGACGTCCTGGGTGCTATTCTCAGGCTGAGTTTGGGCCAGGGACAAGGTGGTTTCCAGTCAAGGTGAGTTGAGAGTCGGAAGGAAGAGAAACAGTATCTGGAGTGGAGTAGGGCTGACACCCTCAAGGACTATGGATCTGCTGCTGCTGGGCCCGGATGGTGTGATGTGACAGAAGGAGGCAGCAGTTCCAGGCCCAGCTGTGTGGCTTTGGGAAAGGCGCAGACCTTCTCTGGTCTCCAGTCCTACCATGAGTGAGATGAGGGAGTGGGAGAGGTGACTCAGGCCTCTGCCTCTAATCAAAGTCCTAGGAGCACAAGTCTTCCTCTCCTACCCCTTCCTGAAGAGTGGTCCAAAGCCAAACTCTAGAGTTGGACAAGCCGAGGGCTCTTGCTAAGTCTCATTTCCTCATAATGTCCATCTTGCAGGACCTACTACATCCAGGGGACCAGAGGCAGAACCTGAACTCGATAAACTAGATGTGATTCCTAAGGTACACAGCCTCTTTCAGGGGGCACCTGTCAGGTGGAGGCTATGCCCTTGCTGTTACCTTCTGGCCCACTAGTGGTGCAGGGGTTTCAGCTCAAAGAATTTCGTGACAATCCAACCATCTTCCAGGTTTCAACTTGCCCTAGGGGCCTGGCATCAGGAGCGGCCCAGGCTGCGTGCACACTCTCACACTCCCTGTCACGTACACACGCACCAGGTGCCGGCGGGGATGTGACAGAGACCGTTCCCTTCCAGCTCCAGCTGACCCAGGCAGCCAGGATAGCCAGGCTCTGTTAACAAGTCAGACCCACAGCTGCCCTGAGACTGTTGTTGAAAGAAAGCAGAGGGCACGAGACAGGCCTCTGCCCAACTCCCCCTGCAGCCCCGGAGTCCCGGCATACCTTTTTGACGGCACACTGGAAGCCTGTCTGCTTGTCCTCCATCCTGTGTACCTCTCCGAAGGAGCCTCTGCCCAGGCAGGGCTGGCGCGTGGCCCAGTGGACCTCCTCTCGGTATTCATAATCCACTGGCTTGAGTTTCTGGGGTTGGCAGGAGAGAGAGGCCAGTTTCAGTGGCCAGGGCAGTGGAGGGACGAAGGGATACAGTGAGGAAGGCTCTCAAGCCAGGGCCCCTTCCAGGTTGCTGGGCTGAGCCCTCACAACCAAAGACACTACTGGGTCTGAGGCCGGGCTTGGGCGTGTGGGCAGGACCAGAGAGAGGTTTACAGGAATCAGGCAAAGGCAAAGGAGAGCTTCACCGGCTGCCTGAGGCAAGCCGATCCTTGTGATGAAAGAACCTCCTCCCCAGACTTGTGGTTGTGGGACAGAAATGAAATTGTCCACAACCCTGACAGTGAAAAAATACGAGCTAAAGGCAGAAGAAAGAGAAGGACAGTGAAGGGGCAGGGAACAGGAATAATGTCAAAGATGGATGGAATAAAACTGAGAAATCTAAGTTCGGGAAAATCATGTAAGGTTACAAAGTTATCCAGTAAGAGAACTAGAGGAAGAAGGGAAGGAAAGGAGGGTAGCAAAGACAAACAAAATCCTCATTGTTCACCCTGGGGGTCAAGAGGTAGCCTCTGCTCTTGACACCGGCTTGTCCCTGTTTCTCAGCATATGTGTTATTCCTACGGTGCACACACACAATGCAGCAATGATGGGGCAGCCAACCAGAAGAACTAAGAACAGGAATAGCTGATAAGACTGAAAAAGGAGCTGGAAATGGACCAGGAGACTACTGCTTTCCATCAATGCTGAGCACTCTGCCAACTGATTTCTTATCACATGAGTGAGTGACTCTGAGAACGAGAGAAAACCGTCCCCCCAGAGGGTGGGACTTGAGAGCGGGTCAGGCAGTGATGCCTCTTCTCCCATCGAGGTCCCACCCTGACTCCCAGCTGCTGTTCTCAGCCCTGGAGGTGGAGGTGGAGGTGGTGGTATATGTACGTATGTTTGAGGATTACTCACCTCAATAAGCAGGACCCCCTCGCTGTCCTCAGTTTTGGGGCTGGGCTCCTGGGGCCTGGAGCCCCCTACTGACCAGGTCTTGGCCAGGCTGGCCAGGCTGCGGGCCTGGCCTGAGCTCACGCTGCCTTGCAGAGCGTGCACCAGGTATTCCTCCACAGAAAACTTCTCACTCGTGCCGTGAGACGGGCAGCTGGGCTTCAGGTGTGGGCCAGGCAGGGGCTTCTGACTGTCTACACAGGCCAGTCTGCCCAGGTGAGGGCCAGGCAGGGGCTGCTGGCTGTCTACACAGGCCAGTTTGCCTAGGAAGTAGGACTCTAAGGGGTGAGGTTTCCAGGGCTGGAGAGGGTGGAACGGGAAGGGGTGGGGCAGTCTGCTGTAGG